TGTGAGATTTTCGGAGGAAAGGAGAGTGTCTGTGGATAATGGGTCTTGGAAGTCTGACAAGAGGTTGGGACATTCAACCGTGCCTGGGGGGATGGCTACGAGACCCGTGAGAAAACCCTGTGTGAACCCCGTGGTCAAATACTCCACCAAATGCCTGCTTGGATGAGGTCTCAAATAAAAAAACAGGTTGTCGACATTAATGTTGGTTAGTCATTTGTTAGGGGACAACCAGGCCATGCACATGGTCTTTATGTGTGCCCTGAAGCAGATAGAGCAGATGTGCAACAACCTACAGGCGCTGAATTGTTGCACACCTGCGCTTTGCCTAGGAAGGAGATAGGTCTACCCAGTTTATCCTGTTGACCACCCGTTTGTTTAGTGTGAGGGGTGAAAGTGGTTTGAGGGGTGGGAGTGGAGACGGATGGATCAGCTTCAGAGGGGCACAAATTGGCCTTATGGGATGTGGAATTACATACGGCACAAGACGAGGGCCTCAGACCAGCAAAGTGGCGACAGAGTAATTCAGTATCCATCTGACACCAGTTAATTCTAACGTTAAACTGCTTCAGATGGGCGCCGCCTTCGCTGATACTGATTTGTGATAATCATAAAAAGATGAGCTCCCGTACTTGATGCCCAAATCCACCACTTTATGCAGATAGATGTCTAGTTCCTCTCTTCTGTGGGGATATACCGAGCAAATGATGTTGCGGTATATCCCGAAGGCTATTACGAACTGTGGTATTGATAGTTTTTTGTTAAGCCTGGGATCTCTGGTTTTAAGCACCACTGAGATATCCCTGTAATTATATGCCCCGGTTCTCCAGCACATCTTGTGAGGCTATAAGCAGTGACACCAGACACACATCCTTCCCATCTAGGATTTTTTTCCTAATGGAGTCTGGGATGGAGTGTGCTGGTGACACAAAAGGTGACGTAACTGTGGCAGGTGCTGGAGGGGAATGTATAGGGCAGTGTGGTGTTGTAGCAGAGACTGCCAAGACAGGGGCTGAGAGGTCAGGGTGGTTACCTGGGGAGGCGATGGCACTCTCCACCTTAGATAACCTGTTACTCAACGTCTGCAGGTTGGCCATGATTGCTGCAAGGGTGTCCTGAGTGGCCGTGCAAGTGCCTGATGGTTGTCCTTGAGAGCTAGTGCCTGGCCTAGGCTCGGGGGCTGATTGGTCAAGAGTCGGTAGAGTTCCGCCTTTCTAGCCATAGCTGGAAAGGGGATGCCCCTTAGCCTAAGTTCAGATGTAATTTTTGGAATAGTCCATGCTCTCAAGGTCGTAGGAGTAGAGGGGGTGAGAGATTCACCTGAAGACTCTGGTCTGATAGGAGTGAACGGGATCTCTTCGGCAGACAAATTGTCGGTGGGGCTGGTTCTTGAGACATTCTAGAAATGAATTGGTGAATTAGATTTAGTAGGGCAAAGGAGGGGTTCCTTAGGTGAACTGGACTGTAAGGCTAGTGCCCAAGTGAAAAACTTAACTGTGAACTAGTGACAAGTGAGGCCCTGCTAGTGCTGAGTGGTGGTGAGAAGCTCTATTTATGATTTGGCAGAGGGAAGTTCGTTGCGACAGACGTGGTATTGGGATGTTGGCCTCTCGATGACTGTTAAGGAGATTCAAACGTGTGGCCGTGAAAAGTGAGGCCCTGACTGCAGCCCTGTAGAAGGGCAAAAGAGGCATCTATTTATGATTTGGGCGTGGGGCCGTACCTCCATGTTGAGGTGGGAGATGGCCTTGCGGGACCGGAATTTACTTGGGTGAGCTAGGGCCGGAGCCTAGACCCTGTAAGCCAGTACACTTGCTTTCTATCGGCTAAATGGCAATTATGGTGTAATGGGTGGATACTAACCTTGATAGTGGTTATAACAGGTAACTTGAACCTTCGAGTGTTTTTTAAGTAGAGTGGCTTGGCCGCTGCTGGTATCGTAGAAGAAGACTAAGGGTAAGACAGATGTTGATGTATTTGAGTGTAATGTAGGGGAGTAATCTTAGTAGTAAGGGGTGGCTATAGGAGCGCAACGTGAGATCCTGAGGTGAGGGATCTGAATGATTAGTCTGAGACTGGGACGAGTTTATGCTATAGAGGGAGGCTGAAGCGAAGTATAGTGTGCATTCGCCTAATTCCGCACGAATAGAAGTAGTGCACGAACTGGTAAGTATGCGAGGGGTGAACAGAATATTGCACAAATTGCTAAATGAACGAACGGGTAAGTATATATGTACATAGTTCGTTCGTATGAATGAACGGTATACCAGAATTTAACAAATTGTGCCAGAGTTTACCCGAACAAAGGTCGGCAGTTTAGACCGTACGAAGGACCCACAAAACGTAAGTATAGCCGGCGTTCGTCTAATTTAGACGCACGAACGCGGAAGTTCACTAACGGGTAAGTATGCACGAACAGGTAATGTATAAGTGAAAAGGGAGCCTACCCCTACATTTTTAGGCCCGAACGGAGGGAAATGTGGCTATGCCACAGAGTTTACAGCCAGATCCCTAAGGACAAGCTTAAGTGAGTGTGCTGGTCTCGTGACCGAAAGCCAAATATCGCGACCGGGAGAAGCCGGGTGGCAGGGCTGCAGAACGGACAGAGGATTCAGCTGGACACCTCTGCTGCTGGAGACTGGAGCTGTTTGGTGGGAAGCTCGGACCGAAAGTGCTGGTTGCTATGGAGGTACAACAATCAACTTTACCGGCAGAGGTGACTAGGGGCTGGGAGTTTAAGTAGGGCACTTACTCCTCCCACAAATTCAGGCCTCATGGCCTTTCTACATATACTTAGATAATATATATAATAAATATATATATGATCTAAGTATATATAATTTAATTTTAAACTGCTTTAACGTTTACTTTTATTTTTTTACTGGCAGCAGGGGGAGTACCTGTCATTACAGGCACTCCTCCTGCTGGCATTGCTATGAACGGCCATCACATGGCCCAGGGGGCCAAAGAGGAAGGAAGGGGACTCCCTGGGCTCCCAGGTAAGTCCCCACACTGCGATCGCCGGCATAGGATCGTCAGCGTTCGGGTAAGTACATTGGATGGCGGGGATGTGCTATGCCACAGAGTTTACAGCCAGATCCCTAAGGACAGCATAGCATGCCCACCATCCTTAAACTTTGCTATAAATTATTCTAATGGGTTTTATATATCTATATTTATATTTTTATTTAATAAAAAATCTAAAAGACAAAACTTTATTGCTTCCAATGCAATCCTTATTTTATATTGTATTCTCAATTATATATATTTTTTAAATCGAGGATCTCTTACTGACTATATAAAATTATAGCTAAGATATGGTTAGCCCTGCTAGGTTCTATGCTTTAAGATGTTTTAGTGGTAAATAAGGGAACTAGCTGCGGTTACAGAGAGATCTTGGATTCCATCAAAATAAAATATGTCACTGCCTACACTTTTTCCTCATCTATTTGCCAGGAACTAAGATTGCTGTTTGCCATGATCTTCTCTTCTTTTACCTTCATGAACAGGTCCTTTAGTTCTACCTCACTTTCAGCCATCAGAGTAGTATCATCTGCGTATCTGAGGTTGTTGATATTTCTTCCAACAATATTGATTCCAGCTTTGGATTCTTCCAGCCCAGCCTTACGTATTATGTATTCCGCATATAAGCTTAATCAATAAGGTGACAATATACAACCTTGTTGCACTCCTTTCCCGATCTTGAACCATTCTGTTGTCCCATGTTTGGTTCCTACTGTGGTCCACATACAGATTTCTCAGGAGAAGGATGAGATGATCTGGTACTCCCATCTCTTTAAGAACTTGCCACATGTTGTTGTGATTCACACTGTCAATGTCTTTAGAATAGTCTATGAAGCAGAAGTATATGTTTTTCTGGAACTTTCTGGCTTTCTCTATTATCCATTGTACATTGGCAATTTAATCTCTTGTGCCTTGTCCTCTGCGGAACCCAGCTTGTACATCTGGTAATTCCCAGTCCATATATTGAGTCGAGCTTGTAGGATTTTAAGCATTACCTTGCTGAAACACATACTAAAGAGAAAAAACACTATGTCCTCTTGGACGAAACTGGAATTGACGCAACGCAAGTAAAACAGAAAGTGAGATTGTGTACAATCCAAAGAGAGACTTGGAACACACGATCAACCAGGAAGAAGGAAATGGGAATAACGAGCATCAACTGGAGGGGTTTTACAAGCAATAAACAAGGTTTAAAAGGGAGCATGGAGGACAATGGAGTGTTATAAATCGGACTGTGGAAGCAACAAAACAGCAAAACACGTTTCGGGATAACTAATAATAGACTCTAATATACCATTAGGTATTTGATAGCACTTTTATTGTTTTTTTTAATATACTTATGTTTAAATTGAAATAAAGTATTTTTAAACTACTTGTACTCCAGCATTTCTAAAGAAGGGTGTGTGGTCCTTAACCACACTAAGCATCTTTACTGAGCCAGCATGCAGGCCCAATGTTTGTGAGTAATTACCCTCAACTTATTTTACTAAAGTATAAGTGGATCTACACTATATTCTGTATCTTTTACCCTGAGACAACCAGAGGAAAAAGGGGGGGGAGAATAAAAGTTACCACCATAACTACTACATCAACAAGGGGAGTGGTCACCCAAAATGGACAAACAAGCAATACATACCAGAGCTAGGTCATATAGCACTGGAAATTGTGTGTTAAATAGAAAATTCATGCATTTGTAACTGTGTAAAAGATTTCACACTATTGCACTTTATGTTTTTGTTTAAAAGGATATATGGTTGATTGAAGTTGCTCAAAGGAGAAAATTGAACAAAGGGCTTTTATGGTGTGTGCATATATATATGCACAGAATGTTTTTGACACTAATTGTAGATTATGCTAACGTAGTGTACCTATAATCTTAATTTTAATAATGACAGGAGGCGAGTATTTTGCATAACTTTCTTTACTTTATGCCTCCAGCAGCACAAGTCAATCAATAAACTTTAAACCAATCAGTAACAGGCATCACATTCATATATAAAGCCCTGACAGTCACATGACTTCCTCTTTCTTTGATGCGAAAAACAGTCTATTATAACGTCAGGGAATTCAAATAACAGTCCTGAGTAACGTGTAGCACATAACTTGAAACCTTCCAGCTTTATCTTGTCGAATCCATCTATGATGATTACGCTGAAAAGAACATAAATACGTGAAAGGTGATGGAAACCAACTGTTGTCCACATTAAATCCAGTACTATATGTGTCTATATTTATATTAAGTTAATATACTGAAACATTAAACAAACCATAGTATACTTAATAATCAACACGGATCTAACACATATCAACCAAATAAGCATCCCATAAATATACTGAATTACCAAACCTTATAATTTACACTGAGAAAATGACAAACCAAAATATAAAAAAAATTTCCAGAGTATAGGGAGGGAAACAGGGAGGGAAAATACTCGCCTCCTGTCATTATTAAAATTAAGATTATAGGTACACTACGTTAGCATAATCTACAATTTTATCACATGACAGGAGGCTTCATATTTTGCATTTTTAAAGCTGTGGTATGAGCGTGAAGGATGCGTGTGTGGTTGACGAAAATAAATATACGGAAGTAGTCTATCCGTGTCCAATTCGTCGCTGAAAATATAGAGGCCCCCTCGTGAAGGCCTGAGAAGCAGCTGCGCCTCTTACCGAATGAGTACCCAAACACGTCTCCACCCTCGCTAGCGATAACAACCAATGAACCCATCTAGACAGAGTGTTCATGGTAACTGGCTTGTACGGTTGGTATAAGACCAGCAGATGTCCTGAATGTGACATTCTAAGTGTTGTCGTGATCTCCATGTAACAAAGTACCCCTTTAACTGCACAAAGGCTGGGAAACCGTCGGTAACAGGGAACGATACGGACACGGATAAGATATAGTTCTACGAGACACTGTAGAAATTATTATTTCCGGTGATACCGAAAAGACCGTCTACGTCGAACTCCAGTACATCTGATACCCGACGAAAAGACCTAAAAGTAACGTGACTCTGGCTAATGGCTGACTGAGGGATAGGACCGTGATATCTGACTAGCTCCAAAAGAACCAAATCAAAGTCCCACACCAGTGATACTTTGACGCATGGTTCTGGACGGTTTGATACCCCACAGAAAATGGCATATCAAAGGCTCTTAATTGACCGGAGTGTCGTGAATCGTGCTATGCATTGTCGAAGCCCGTTAATGGAACGTTCCGATCGGCCTGTAGTGAAAAGGTATGATAAAGATCCAGCATCGTGGAGATAGGGGTAATAAAGGGATTGCAGTCCCTTCCCATACACCAGCGAACTCAAGGTGTTCCATGCGGATAAGTTATTTCGGGGAAATACCTGGCGTCCATGAGTCCCATAGTAGGTCTCTAGTTGGTTGCGATAGTCCCTTGACATACCAGTCTCCCCTGGAAGACACCAATCTACCAACTCCAGATGCTCCTGCATTCTCAATGGATGATGTTCTCCTTTTGGATCCGCCCGAAGGCAAGTTAAAACAGAAGGAGCAGAGGATGATCCTGATTAAGGACAACCCTTCTGGGTGTCACGCTTGCCTCCTTTCCGCAGTAATGAGTACTATCGAAGTCTTCGCTATTCTGATCCCAATTTCATAGGTGTGTCTGTATCTCAGGCAGTGAGCTTTCAGCCACTGTCTGGCCTGGTAGTGAAGCAGTCCTGGGAAATAGTCAAAGGGTTATGGTGCCTTTCCGCCGTACCCGTCGAATTTCCTTACGAATCGTCGCTATCAATGATGTGGGAAGGTGTAATCCGCTCAAGGTGGAATCTATTCTGAAATAGAGGAACTGAATCACTCGGAACTGGGATCGAACCAACTCCTCTCTGTTCACTATGAATCCCAACAATTCCCGAAACTGTAAACATAAATCTCGTTTGTAAACGTAGTCATGAATTGGATTTGCAAAAGGTAAGTCGTCTAGGTATGTGACAGCAGATACCCTTTGCTTTTCAGTGCACAGTGACCGACTTCAGAAACTTCATGAGGCACCATGTGAACCTATAGGTAAGTGCCCTTCAAGTCCAACCTTGTAGATCCCCTAAGAGATGGATACCTTCCTTCTTGAGTTGTCGGTACGCCCCAAAACCATTGGGTTGGCATAGGTTGATGACTGGGTGATAGTCTCCTATCTTCTTCCTTACTACCAAACCGTTGCTGAGATAAATGGTTCTCCAAACGATAGTCCGTCTGCCTGAGGTCCTCGCTCTTTCGTCCCTAACTTCAATAGTTTGAAATCCATCTTTAATCGGGCTGCTTTGCGGCGTTCTGTGCACCTGTCTGCCTTGCGTTCCCCAACTTACATATTGCCCTTTGCACCCATTCCCTCACATCGTGAGCTTCTAGAGGTGAGTCTTGTGTGGGGTCAGGTCCGCAAAGTATAGAATTTTTTCCCGGGCTGATCATATCCAGTATTTAACTCATTTTGAGTCCTCCTCCTACACACTGATCGGGACATACATATCACCACGAGCTCCATAGTGAGGACTATCTTGTTCGGACATAGAGGGCGTGGGCATTCCATCCTGAGCCGGTCTCGGATTTCTTTTCCCATAGGCCTCCTAAGCCAGAAGTGGGCCCGGTGCTCCAGTTAACCCCATTCGGATGACCCTGGTTGTCGGATGGTGCGTGAGTCAAAACAGGAGTGTCCAGTGTGCCAAAGAAAAAACCTTTCTTGCTAGGCGTGTCTTGTCACTTTTACCTCTTCTGCCCTCCATTCTTTCATGATCTCCAGAGAAGGGGGAGGGAGGATGAAGTCCTCGTCCCCTGATGATGGGTGTCCGACCTAACGTCGGTATCTCAATCTTCCATTGGTGTTGCTGCCGTTGCACCCGCTCTGTCGAATGGGTTGTTAGCCAGCATACTGGAGAGGACTTCTTCCCCCGGAGCTGTCATGGCAGCCTTAATCCTCGCCTGAAAATCGGTCGGGGATATTGAGGTAAGTCCGACATGTTGGTTCACACCCTTTCGGTCCGTGGGAGACAGGATCGTACAACAGTACACTTATTGCCACTCAGTGGGCCTCCGCGTATAACTGGGGGTCACCCAGAATTTTGATCAATCAGTATCATTTTCGCAGGATCCGGGGAGTGGTCTGAGAATGAGGACACCCTCAGTAAGACCGGGATGAGCGGTCTGCAATGTCGGGACGTAGCCCGAGTCTGGGAGACGTGAAAGCCTCAATATATATAGTCCACGGGTTCATCCTTATATGGTCTAGAATTGTGGAGTTTTGGCAGCACTGTGAGTTCTCCTTCTCGGTTAAGGGAAGGGCGTACGGAACCCCAGTTGAAGCATAGAGGTGCCAGAATACATGCATCTAGTGCGCCCTGGTCTGTGCATACAATGACAGAGCGTACTCTGAAGGTAGAAGCCCTAGAAAGGGTGCGGGGGGTCACCCCTTTGTACCTATGCCACTAGCACCGGAGTAAGACTCGCTTGGGGTTCACCCAGCATAGGGGGGTCACCCCTGTATGAATGTCTCTTATGGCATGTTGGGACACTCTTTCGGTCTATGGGGTACCGAACAGGTGTCAGGTACGGTAGTACACTTATTGCCACTTAGTGGGCCTCCACGTACAACTGGGGGTCACCCAGAATTGTTTCAATCAGTACCACTTAGAGATTTCCTGGGAGTGGTCTGAGGAGGGGGTCACCCTCAATAAGACCGGGATGAGCGGTCAGTAATGTCGGGACGTAGCCCGTGTATGGGGAGGTATGGTAGCCTCCAAATTATCCAAGGGGTCACCCTTATAGGATATAGTACTGTGGAGAATTGGCAGCACCATGAGCTCTCCTTCCTGGCTCTGTCGATATACATGTATTCAGTGTGACCCGGTCTGTGCATACAGTAACAGATCGTACTCCGTGGAAATGAGCCCGCCCTAGGGCGTGGGGGTTCCCCCCAGTATATGTATGTCACTAGTACCGGAATAATATTCGCTTGGGGTTCACCCAGAGTAGGGGGATCACCCCAGTATATGTATGTCACTAGGACAGGAACCAGATTCGCTTGGGGGTCACCCAGCGTAAGGGGGGTCACCCCTGTACCACAATGTCACTTTGGAGAGGTGTCTGCCACGCTTGGGGGTCACCCAGCGTAAGGGGGATCACCCCTGTTAATCACTCCGTTATGTGCCTCCACTACTGTGTCCTGGGAGGTGTATCCCTGTGGGGAAGGAGTGTATCCAATGGTTGTGAGGTCCAGTGGGAGTAGGGAGCGGAGTAAGATATCAGCTCTATTTAATTTCCCTGCCAGTAGATAGAGTAATGCATCCACTATATACCCACAGCAGGGGACAGTCCATTCATAATCCTCCAGATGTACAATAAAACTGTTATTCAACATGTCAATTGTATAGAACAGAATAGAGCAAACTGTCAGCAGATGCACACAGCAGGGATCAGTCCTACATATTCATGCAGAGTTACATATAAAACTTTTATTTCACATGCCAATGAAATATGCCAGTATAGAGCTCAGCAGTGAACAGTCCATTCATAATCTTCCAGGAAAGGTACATATAAAACCTTTATTCCACATGCCCATGAACAGTATTGAGCTCAAAAGTACTTGTAAAACTTTTATTTCACAGGAAAAATATATGAAACAGTACAGAACTAGCCGCCAGTTCGTGGGAATCACGAACTGGCCAAACGACATGGCCGACGTGAATCTCGCGAGTGCCGCGAGATTCAAGATGGCCGCCGTTCGCGCGCAAAAGTGCCGTGCGGCCCACGATCGAGGATACGATCGCGGTCTGCCGGCATGGAAAAGAGTCCCCCCGACATCCCCAACCCCCAGAGACCTGCCCTGAAGTCCCAGCACCAATGAATAAAAAGCGTGCTCGCGGTAAAACGCCGCGATCCATGCGAGACCAGAGTAAAGCATAGGAAAGAAAAGGTGCCAGCAACAGAAAACAGGCTAATAAAGCAGAAAATACAGGGTTAATTCAGGGGAAGGGTAACAGGGGGAGAATATCACACTATACAAATCCAAATGGAAGGCAAGTGCAAAATAATGAAAAACGTTTAGGCCAAAATTGCAGGACAAGCTAATAAAGTTTAACAAAAGTGCCCATGCATATCCAGAAACAGTTTGGAGCAAAAACTGAATGTCTAGCATTAAAAATCTAACTAAAGTGACCATAGCAATATTAATAAAAACAGTTGGAGCAAACTGAAAGTCAATTAATAAAGTTTAATTAAAGTGGTATCCAGAAAAAACAGTTAGGATTAAAACTGAATGTCTAGCATAAGGTGTCTAACTACAGTGACCATAGCAATATTAATAAAAACAGTTTGGAACAAACTGAAAGTTAAGCAATAAATGATTAACTAATGACAATTGCAATATTCAGTAAAACAGTTTGGAGCAAAATACTCTGACCTGTGCCTTGGCTGGTAAGCAGCAAAGAAAGAGGAAGTCATGTGACTGTCAGGGCTTTATATATGAATGTGATGCCTGTTACTGATTGGTTTAAAGTTTATTGATTGACTTGTGCTGCTGGAGGCATAAAGTAAAGAAAGTTATGCAAAATATGAAGCCTCCTGTCATGTGATAAAATTATATAGCGCTCCACTATTTTTTTAATAAATTTATTATTTTAGAAACCCAATCAAAAAAATAAACAAGATTAGTTTGGCATGATCTCCCTGAAGTAAACCTATGTTGTCTGATCTTGAACTCTATGGGATTTTAGATGTTTAACAATCCTATCCTTTAACATGGTTTCCATCACTTGCCCAACTACTGAAGTAATGCTTACTGGCCTATAGTTGCCCGACTCCTCCCTACCACCTTTCTTGTGAATGGGTACAACATTTTTCTAACTTCCAATCTTCTGGGACTACTCCTGTTAACAATGATTGGTAAATAAATCTGTAAATGGTTTTGCTAGTACACCACTAAGTTATTTTAATAACTTTGGGTGTATCCCATCAGGCCCCATTGACTTATTTGTCTTTACGTTTGACAGTTGAAATAGAACCTCTTCCTCACATGTAAACTCACATGTAACAAATGATTTGTCCTTTTTCTTAACTGAATTCCCTCTCCATTTTTAGCTGTAAATACTGAAAACATTTTTAATCTAACTAATCCTTGTTTTACTTTCCTTTTCTCATTTATGTATCTGGATGGTACTTCCACAAACTCTGTGCCTGAGACTACGTTTTTTGCCTTCTTTTGGATCAACAGCAAAAACATATGTGAGAAAGGCTGAACTTGATGGATGCAAGTCTCTTTTCAGCTATGTAACTAACTAAAACATTTTATCCCTCTTTTTTTACTGACTGTGCTAATCTCTCTTCTGTGTGTGCTTTGGAGGCTCTTATAACTTGCTTTGCCTCTTTCTGCCTAATCTTACAGATCTGTCTACCTTCATCTGGATTTTTTATAATTACTATTATTATTATTGACATGTATATAGCGCCAACAGATTCCATAGCCCTTTACAATAGTTTGTCACCAACGTGGGCTGTTGACCCAGCCGAGACAGTGGGGAGAGTATGGAAGTAAAAGGGTTAATTACACCAGACCCCTGGTTACCTGTTGATAGTCACAGCAACCACTAAATGCTAACTTTTTTTTTTTTATGCCCACGTCTAAGGAGTACCACAGTGGTTTCTTAATTTTTCTGCTCTTCCTGACGTGCCTAATGCAATTTTCTGTTGCTTTAAGAAGTGCAACTTTTAAATAATCCCATTTCTCCTGGACTCTATTTAAACTGCTCCAGTCTGATCAGGATGTATATTCTAATTTTAGAAAAGTCTGTTTTTCTAAAATCTAAAACTTTTGTTTTTGTGTTGTGTGACTGAGTCACTTTTCTTATATTAAAACACACTGGCTGATGATCACTGGATCCTGAACTTTCACCTACAGTAATATCTGATACTAAATCTCCATTTGTTAACACAAAATTTAGTATGGCCTCTTTACAAGTTGGTTCCTTAATGGCATGTTTTAGAGATAATCCCAGTAGGGAGTTTAGAATGTGTGTGCTCCTGGCACAAGCAGCTGTTTGGTTTTCCAGTTTACATCAGGACGATTAAAGTCACACATGATAATAATTAGAGTTGAGCGGACACCTGGATGTTCGGGTCCGGCGGGTTCGGCCAAACTTTGAAAAAAAGTCCAGGTTCCGGCTCGAGCTTGACCGAGAATCCCATTGAAGTCAATGGGGACCCGAACTTTTGGGCACCAAAAAGGCCTCAAAAAAAACTTTTGGAAAGGGCTAGAGAGCTGCAAAAGGAAGTAAAATGGGGGTAAGAGTAGGACATGAGCCCTGCAAACAAATGTGGATAGGGAAATCACTTAAAATAACAAAAATTTAAAAATACAGCTGAGCCATAAAATAGCACTAGATGGAATCTTTGATTTTAGCTTTGGAAGAACATAAATAAAAATCTAAAGCATGGCTGTCAGGAGGATCACCAGAATTATCCATTTGAGAGAGGGTTGGAGTGCAGGGTATTCTCTTTCATTATTCAAACTGAGCTCAACTCTTGATGCATGGAGAAAATGCCTTCACAAGCCTCTGCTATTGCGTACATAGTTTATACCAAGTGACCCATAGGTTGAGGAGGCGGTGACCGTGGTGGTGTAGGTGGAAGATGAGGTAGCCAACACAGTTTTATATATATATTTTTTTTAATTGGGGTAGCCCCCCAAATATTGGGACATATAAAAAAAAAAAAAAGACAACTCTGTTCCGCAGAGTAGCTGTTGACATTATAGTTGCACAGGCATTTTGACTCTAGAGAACCTCGGGCCAATCGCACATCCCTGTGACGGCGACTTTGCATTCGGATGTCATTCATATCAACTTTCTATGCCAGTTTCTGCGCCTACCATGGTGACCATGGGTAACAGGGAATCAGGGTTCCATTCCATACAGGTACCCTGAGAAACAGCTACCACATGCAAGGAAGACAGCAGGCGCGCAAATGACCCACTCCCGACGCGGGAAGGTAGTGACGATAAATAACAATACAGGACTCTTTAGAGGCCCTGTAATTGTAATGAGTCCACTTGAAATCCTTTAACTCTGATCAATTGGAGAGAAAGTCTGGTGCAGAGCCACTGACCTTTGCGTGCTGCAGCTGAAACTCCACTATCGCCTGCTGCTGCTCGCACAGTCTCATGAGGCGGTGAGTGGGAAGGCCAAAGTTACGCTGAGCGCAGACAGGCGAGCAGCAGCAGGGTGAGAACGCCAAAAGCGTGCACAGCCGCTACAGTGAATGTCACATCCTGTTGCAAGTTACAGATCAGTCTGGTGATGGCTTCTGGTATCCAGTACTCTTTTTACTGAGGCTGCATCAGGGTCCTGGTATGTGGTCGCACAAACGCTGGTGCTCAACGCCAGGGGGCGTTCCAAGTTCCATTTGCAAAAAAAACACACACACACACACACACACACACATATTTACAGGCAGACAGTCACACACACAGACACACACTCTAACTTACAGACAGTGTGGGCTGGAGGAGTGGATTCCCTGTCCTGAATCCTTCCCTGGAGCCTGTTAGGTGGAGAAGCAGGGATTTATTCTTGCTGCACCTCCATGTGCAGCAGTTACAGCAGCTTGTAAGGGCAGTGTTAAGCCCCGGCCCGGTTAGGCCCCACCCCTAAATGGTCGTAGCTCCGCCCCCTTCCTCCTGTGCGGCCAGTTAAGCTTGCTGGTCTCCGTGTGAGCAGTGCGACACCCCAGCTGCCATGGGGCACAGCTCACACGTCCCCCATTAGCCCTCAGACTAGGGTCATGGCACCCCCCTACCAGGTGGCACCCGGGGCGGACCACCCCCTCCGCCCCTCCTTAGTCCACCACTGCATGAAGGTCCTGTTCACTAGAGTGTATAGTCATATGTAACAAGGAAAACTTTGTTTTTACAGCCACTGGTTGGCCCATACATATTTTAAAACATGTTTAATTTTGTTGTAGCATGACTTGAGCAGGCCCCAAAATTAACTATTTAGCAAATTCGCACCCAGAAAATAAGAATGTTTACCACTGCGCTGTAAGCACACTATTAGACGCTTCTATTTGACTCTCAGATATGAAGTGCATGCCCCAAAATGTACTATTTAGCAGCTTAGCACCTATAAATTAAGAATGTTTACCACTGCGCTGTAAGCACACTATTAGATGCTTCTATTTGATTCTCAGATATGAAGTGCACACTCCAAATATACTATTAAGCACTAAAAATTTTTTTTTCAATATTAACTTTTTAAAACTCCAATGTAAGCAGCAGATTAGCAGCAAAACAATTTGAATTTTTACAACTGCGCTGTAAGCACACCATTAGACGCTTTGATTTGACTCTCAGATATGAAGTGCACCCCACTAAAATACTATTTAGCAGTTTAGCACCCAAAATTTTTTTTAAATTTAAAACTGCAATGTGACAGCAGTACTTGACGCTTCTATTTGACTCTCAGATATGAAGGGCACCCCACTAATGTACTAGATTCAGAACTCTTTCCTAAGTTGTCCCTATCAGCGGCAGCATCCTCTCCCTACACTAATAAGACTTCATGTGCGTGCGGCTCTACGCGACTCCTGCTTATATATAGAGACTGGGTCACATGCTGCACTGGCCAATCACAGCCATGCCATTAGCTTCTAAGGACACACGAGTCAAACGCTTGTTGATTGGCTGCCCTGCAGCCTTTGAAAACCCGCCATTAAATCGCTGAATGCCGAACTCCAAACCGAACATACAGTGATATGTCCGTGTTCGGGTCCGGAGTCCAAAAACCGTAATGTTCGGAACGAACCCGAACTTTACAGTTTGGGTTCGCTCAACTCTAATAATAACTTCACCCTCATTGTCATTTTATCTATTTCATCAACAAGTAGATTATCTAACTCTTCTATTTGTCCTTGGGGCCTGTAGATCACACCTACACGAGTTACTGTGTGATTTCCAAATTCTAACATAACATAGACTCTATGTTAGGTTAGATTTTATGCTATCCTTCACATACAGGGCCACCCCTTGCCTTCTCTGGTGCCCTGTTATTGCTAATCCCAGTGATTTTTCTCATTATATCATGTCTCAGTAGCAGCCACTAAATCTACATTTTCAGTTGCCATTATTGCCACAAGTTCATGGATCTTATTCCCTAAACTGCGAGTATTTGTAGACATGACTCTGAGCTTATTTTATAACACACTCACTACAGTTACTTTGTCCTTTTTTTGGGGGGGCAATTGGATTGATGTTTTATTACCCTTTTGTCCTCCCTCCTGGTTTAAATACCTCCTAGCAAAACCTCTGAACTGCTCGCTGAGAACATTTGTTCCCTTCTTAGAAAGATGCAAACCATCTTTTTTGTACAGTTCATTTCTATTCCAAATAGAGCTACCATGAGAAACAAAGCCAAATCCTTGCTCCCGACACCATTCACCAAGCCACAAGTTAAAGTCCCTAATACGCATCTGCCTGTCATTCTGAATGTTAACCACAGGCAGAACTTCAGAGAATCACAGTGTGGACACAACCTGCCAAAGATCATTGGCAAGAACACAAAACACTTCCTTTACCTCAGAAACCTCATTACAAGTCAAATCATGTGTCCCTAGATGGACATGTACATCAGAGATCTGGGGGGAGGAAGGGGTTAAACTTAGCTTTCCTCCGCCTCCTCTCCTCCTCTTCGGCTGAATGCGCATGCGCGTCAAGAGCTGCGCACGCATTCAGCCAGTCTCATAGGAATGCATTATCAAAGCTTTCCTATGGACGCTGGCTTCTTCTCACTGTGAAAATCACATTGAGAAGCCCTCTAGCGGCTGTCAATGAGACAGCCACTATAAGCTGGGTTAAACCATTCTTTGAAACTGCTATGTTTATAGAAAAAAGGGTTAAACCTAGCTGGACCTGACACCCAGACCACTTCATTAAGCTGAAGTGGTCTGGGTGCCTATAGTGGACCGTCAACAATATTATAAATACGTAGCTCCAGGAAGACATCTCACAAAGCCACTATTGTCCAACTCCACACCTCTTAAGATAGAATCCACTAACAAAAACTGCTTTCTATCAGGCCTCACCTTATTCTTTTTGTCATTGGCTGCAGTCTTGCACACCTTAGGCATAGAGGATGGTGGTTCCACAACTCTGTGCCTGAGTCTGTCTCCACACCATTACTACAATCTGAAAGTTCAGAAAATCAATTATGTAAAGACACAGACTGTGCAGTATACCTTTTATCCACATCTTTAAGTCCTACAGTAATCCATCTGCCATTCCTAGTACGTCTCTGCAGCAGTGGATTTGCAACATTCCCAGCCTGAGTTTGTTTACCAGATAATTTACAAATATCAGACTTCAAAAATACAATCTCCTGCCACAATATAGAGAACTGTCTACAGATTAGACAGCATCCAAATCTCCAAAAAGTGGAACGTGAAACAAATGCATAACAACTATTACACTGAACTAAGTCTGCCATTTTAATGAGATGAGGAGTTTAACAAACAAATCTTACTCTTTTCTCAACAAGAGAAATAAATGAGATAGCAAAATAAAATATTTAAATAAAAACATGTTAGAGACAAGCAAAATTGTGTGAACAAACTCTGGAATTCCATAATGCAATTTGACATACCATTTTTTTCTTTTCATTCTCTTGGGGCATTTTATTTTATATGTAGGATATAGAAGATCCTTCTAAAGTTCCTTCAGATAGTCTTATATTTTTAATACTTGTGTTTAGATTAAATTGCTTGGATAGCCTTTGATATGTTTTAACTGCGATCATGGGAAATTTATGATTAGTACTGAAAAAGTTAAAGGTCAAGTTATTTTAATAATTGTTTAACTAGAATATATTTAGTAATATTTGTTACATTTTCTCTAATATCTTATTAAACATTTTTGTGTGCTGCACTCAGTGATTGTCATTTGCTGGTAATGCCTCTAATAATCTAAATTATAGCTGTACAAAATAAAAGGGCTGGTTTTGAATGCTTGCAAATATATGTGGGCTTCCAGTAACTACTGTTAATATAACTATTTGATGTCTATTGTTAGTGTAACTAGGTTGCACAAGGACACATGAATGGTGGCCATCTTGATGCTCTTTGAAGCACATAGCTGACAACCATCTTGGTGCTCCTGAAAGTTTTACACAGTAGTTATTGTGAACCCCTTTGAATTGTGCAAACTATGTGATGTCTATTGTTAGTGTAACTAGGTTGGCACCAGGACACATGAATGGTGGCCATCTTGATGCTCTTTGAAGCACATAGTTGACAGCCATTTTGGTGCTCCTGAAAGTTTTACGCAGTAGTTATTGTGAAACCCTTTAACTTGTGCAAACTTATTCATCCAAAACCAAGAACTACAACAATGATACATTAAGACATGTTGAAAGTGGAACAAGAAAATATTACTCTATATGAAGGTTATTTGCCTTACTTTGTATGTTAAAGGAAACACACTAAATAACTAGTTGGCTGTAAAGTGAGGTATATTGTCCGATCTCCACAAAGCATTTATTACTGCCGTTTTAAAATTCTTCATTGCAGTTTCTATATTGCAAGGTTAAAACTGCAGGGCCACTGCACCAAGACCACTTCATTGAGATCAGGGCTCATTCTGTCCGATACCTACAGCCTCCTACATTAACAGATTACTTCCACCAATGTTGGTGACACTATCCTGATAATTCTACTTCGATGCAATTAGGCTGTTAGAGTTGTCGGCATATTGGTCTCCTGCATGCTGTATCAGACTGAGAACTTTCACAGCATTTAATAAGTGCTCTTTTACTATTGTGGGGGGCTGTGTTACAATTTAGGAAGTTAGACTAGTCATTTAATTTGCTCCTATGGTTTAGTGCAACCACATGTAAATTAAGGGATATACATACATATATGCAACAGGATCTTGCTTGTAGATGAATATCTAAAAAAAAACAAAAAAC